CCATGTCTGATGGAGTCAAGAGGCGAAGAAAGTGACGTGCACATATAAGAGGAGGTGCGATCCGGACAATCCAGCTGACAGGATTTGTAATTGGCACAATAGAAAAAACAGAGAAGCTCACAACCAGTCACAGTGGAGGAGCCTATGACTTGGAGGGTTGTTCCTATGGTAGGTTAACGTCAGTCGGGAATGTTTGACCGGAAAATCCGGGTCGTTTGCACACGAGAAACGACAGGTAAACACGGCAATACTTGCTGCCGATGACAAAGCAGCCCATGTTTCAGGCTTGTTAAGTGCGTTAACTTTGGACGCCATCCAAAAAGCGGAGCGGGAAAATAGGGTGCGCAGGTGTTTAGCATAGATGAAAAAGCCTAACAATAGCCACTCCCAGGGCTTCACCTATTAAGTGACAAAACGATCTTCGCACTATCGGCAATTTCACTCACGGTCTATGACGCCATCTATAATAAAGAAGAGAAAAGTTCACAGGTAACCGATAGCAAGGGTTTCCCTAAAATACTGTGCCCCTCGAGAACGAAACGATTCAACTGGATAACTACTGCTTGGTGTCCTAGAATTATGGCTTCCTTGTTTCTTCCACTAATGCTAATGGTCAGCAGCCACCTGTCAAATACAGCCAGCCTTATGACCCGACAAACTGAGACTTCGCGAGGCGCCAGGAGGCTTTCGGCCGAATCGTAGAAACAGGAAACCTCTGAATTGGTCCCATATCATAGACATATACCGGAAAATGGACGTTACAAGTCTAATCCAATTAAGTCACACCGTCCGTTCAAACAAGATTCAGTCGGAATAGTGTGATTCCACATAAAAATATAAATAAACACGACAATCAATTTCATAAACAAACCGTTGGAAGGCAACAACCATATGTCGAGGGTGCGTGAGGTTTTGTTTGGGTTGGATTTGTTAACTTCCGTTTGCTCGACCAGATATATCACAACATTTGACGGTGTTGTGGCCAGTCTCTACCTGTATTTCTAACTGTTATAAATGTGGGAAACTGATGCTTCTGAACGCCTTCACACAACGGAGCTTTCTTCAGAAAAATTAAAGTGGTTATTCTGTACTGGAGAACTGTTGTTCAATATGCTTGCCCACGAGAGTGATAATGCTGGACACCGAGGCAATAAAAATTGACGGCATTAGTCGCACACAGAATTACGTACTCACCTTCTCAATGGAAAAGCTTCGGTGATTCCCAATTCCCCGCCCCCAAAAAAAAAAAAAGAGGAGGCTACCTCGTTGGAGATGTTCAACGTGAACCGCATAGCATCTCACAATGAAATCTCATATTTCAACGTGAATGCGGGTTAAAAGGTTCCACTCCATCCGAAGTTAATACCTCAAATATTTAATATACTTGCAAATTAACGACTCACATGTACTGGCGTGACATGGTGACCTTGCATAACGGCCGTCAGCTATCGTCACCCAGATCATTCGGAACTAATATTCTTTTTCATTTAGCCAAACTTGAAAACGGACCATCAAACACAACAACCTATCACAAAGACCTATTCTCGCAAAACAGCAGAAAAACAGATATGATCGTCGAGAAATATTGAGCTATCGTGAGTTGATTCTACACTTCAACTGTATTACCTTTATTCGGTACTGCAACTGTGAAGCGTCCTAACGTGTGTACTCAGGAAAGACCTAAGTGTCGAGTCGATGGAACCCCAGTTGGACTTCACCAACCGGAGAACTAATCAAATAAATTCTTGCATGGATCAGTGGAACAAGACAATGCCCCATGAGATTGATGGTAGTGTGAGACCTGAAACTTTTCAACAGAGAGGATGCCTTTTACTGAAAAGTCAAGGATCACTGTACAGCTGTTATCTCCTCATTCAGAACCATCAGCAGAACGCATTCCGAGAAATCGAAGTGAATTTAAAACCCGCTACAGTACGCTTGACCGTTTTGCTACGAGCGGCTGGTCATCAGTGCGAACAATTCGCACCGGCACAGGAAGCAGCACCCGCTGTTCGAAACTCCTCGGAGTTTCGCGAAATGTGCAATTTTGATGGATCCTGATAAGGACAAAACAGCCGTACAGTGCTTCTCGATATAAACGAGATTCACTTCTAGGACGAAATTTGCATTGATGATTTAATTATAGTGTCTAGAGGAGTCAATAGGCCTATCATTTTATAAATGTTTTTCACAATCGATTGAGTTCCTACTGAGTACAGCTACAAGGTCGAAAATAGCAAGAATGGGAAACCATGCCACCAGAAGGGATATTAAAAACAACTCAAGAGATATTTATATCGGAAATGACTTCCACTCCGCCTCGCAAAACTTCATAGTCCTTATAATGACAACCTGACTAGGACAGACAGGCTAAGGCAGCCCCATTGCACAGGGCCATGCATCAGAATTGAAGAAATCAGGAGAAAAGGGATTCAGAATGGTGAATTGCAGTGCAATTTTCCTAGTCTTGGTCACAATTAGCTCAAAAAGGATGTCTACGACAAGACAGGGATCAATGATGATCGAAGCAGCGAATACATCGCGCGCGAGCGACGGCGGAGCGGATATATCACTTTATGTTACTGATATTATGTAAGTAATATATGCTGTGTTGATTTTGGAATCAGCCAGTAGAAGGCCGAATCACCGCTTGTTCCTGTCACCGAGCACTATGCATTACTTTGCTTGACGGGCATCCAAACTCTTACCGAACAGTCGAATGAAATCTTTTGGTACAGGCGAGTGGTAGTATTCGAGGCACAAGTACGAATTAGCAAAAGAGGGATGTGATATACTTCGGGTTTTGTTAGTTTCAGTACTAGAATTCATTTGAATTAAAATTAACAGGCACTACTCATGAGGTTGCTGAGAGCTCTTCGAAAACCCACGGCTGGCTTCGCCCTTCTGGTGCTCATAGGGTAGGTGCAGTCCCCCAGTTCCTGTCAACCTTGTATTCTACTTGAACCCAAATTGCACACAATTAGCGAAACACTCATTTGCCCATCAAATTGATCTTGATGGGAGACTCAACCAGAACGAAACTCAGCTTCAACTTTCAGTTGGCACGATATTTGATACATCGCGATTAACTGCGTGGACGTAATACCAATCGAAAGCACTATTTTTATTCACAGGAATCTGTCACAAAAAATCCTACATTGGAGAGTCGCCCAGTTTATAAGTTGCGGGATAAATTCCAATCACAAGCAAAAAGCGGCCGTATCCAGGTATCTTATAATTATCAGATAACGTATTACGTATCGCATAGGTAAATCGATAGCAATTCAATCCCTTTCAATGTCGAACAACCAACAGCGACAGAGATGTTTGGTCATTCCAAGGCGTAATCACATCGGACGCAAAATTCTCATGGGTGTGACAGCCAGTTCGCGGTAAAAAAAAAGGTTTGTGGAAACACGTAAAGTTGCATAGGTAGTAAGACCACCTTACTAAAAGGGTTAATACGCACTACGCCGCATCAATGAAGATAAATGCCACGCACCTCCGATATAAGTTCCAGCCCCCACCCCAACAACCATTTTAATTGCTTCACACTGATGAGGGTGGAGGGTTCTGGACAATTCCCGTTGGGTTATGCTACTTGCTAGAATTAAGTATAAGTCCTGTGCCAGCACCGTTCACGCTGGTATGTGGTGTAACGGTGATACCAATGATCAGGAAGGCACGCGAGCAGTATTTTTCTTATTGTAAATTCGCTTTGCTTTGTAGCATTTGCTTGGATTCGAGCAACAGTCAGTGAATATCCAGGAAAGTCCAGGAAGACGCGTTCAAGAGAAGATGGATGTTCAGTTTTCGTAAATAAGATACAAATGAGAATTTTGTTTCCCTGTCCAATAATCTGCAACTGGTCAGTTGGCATTAAGAACTAAAAGAAGAGGAAGTGACATACTGAGAAAAGCTCTGTGTCCTCAGAGGAAACGGTCAACAGCAAAGTGTCTGTAGTTCTCAAAACCATTGGAATAAACACATCTGAGCATCATGTTGCCAAAATGACCTAACCTATCGTGAGTATCTCACGCAGCACTAGCCCAACACACAAAAAGCAGGCGTTAACCTGGCAAGCCGGTTAGGGAGTGATAGCAAGCTTACTACTGAGGTCGGTTAGGTGCCAGGTTCTGCAGCGCTTCAAAAACACGTACAGGGCCTCACGAAGGTAGGCCCAATCCCATAGCGTTCAGCAGGACAGCATCCAACTTCATGTTACCACATCAGGGCACGTCCCCCGCCAAATTTTTACCGACAGCGGTTTGGAGTGGGAAACACGCCTTTTATTGGCACACACTGGCCGAGTATAGGTGGTGCATGAGGTGACCACGTTAAGTTGACAAAGTTTAGTTCCTGGGCTGGACAACCTGACTCACCATCTAGTAGTACTCGCTTCCGGACAAACCCATTATGGACACGCTGCGACTAGTTAAATTCTGTTATGCTTCAAGGAAAATCGTTTGAAAAGGTTTGGAGTCCTCAAATTAAAGAGGACACAAATTAGGCAGGTTCTTGTTGTGGTGCTGTAGACACGACCCTGACACGACACTGATATCCGTTTCCGATGACAATTGACGAATACTCCTGGTGACTTGGTGACGCCTGCATCTGATACAATACAATCACAGCCACACCATTAAACGTACCAACAAACTCAAGCCCCTCATTCTCAAGTTTCAAAGGGATAAATGTGAGTGGAAAATTTCCAAAGTAAGCAAACCAGCGAGCACTGGTGAAGTAGTGGTAACACACACACCCGGCACGTCAGAAATCCGCTGTTCAAATCCCGACAAGGCTACGAATGTGCACCTTTAAAGAACCCTAACAGGATTGAAACTCGAATCCAGTGCTTGATAAAATCACTGGAATAGTCGTATCACGACTGTTCAAGCAAGGTCAACAAATCCCGAAACCACCTACTACTAACGTCGGTTAAACACAACTACTGCGATTCAATGTAAAATAAACTTCGCAATCTAGTTTTACCCAATAAGAGAGATGGCCAAGTGTTTGGAGCGCGAAAGGTCCGTGATTCGAACCTGACCTCTGCTCCACGACTTCCGCTGTCTAGGCTTCGGTAAGCTGGCAGTATCCCAGTCCTCGTGCAACCTTCGGCTGGCATGGCTGTTAAGCACCAGCAGGGTACTACAGCTGAATGATTTGTTTTTAGTTTTAACCAATGTATGTAAAGACTTCTCAGTGAAGACAGTCACAGATACGTGAGTGAAAACAGAAAACTCAGTGAATCAAATCGGAACAGGTGGCATCCAGAAAAAATTGTACTGCATAACTTACTTTCCAGAGCCTCCAGGTCCGGAGGAAAGATTGAAGAACTGAAATAACAAAAATCCAGCGGCAGTATGTAAGTTGTGTTTGACCACGAAATTACGTAACAATAGTTGGGTGTACATCAAGCTGTTTTGTACGATATAGCACATAAGTGTTGTGAACCCCTGTCTACACAGTTAATGGATGGTATTCATAGTTTGAGGAAAGCGCAAACGGTGGTTGATGAGTTTATAAAGTCGCCAGCCGGAATTTCGTATAGCGCTGACCATTGAGTGTAAGGAAAAATGAGCAAATCCGGTCGCATCAGACGGTTGGTAGGAGGAACGATCGATATGAACATAATGGTGGGCTCTTCAAGGCTACATAGCGCATCAATATTTGCGAAAGGAGTCACCAATGGTCGAAACTTTAGTTCGCAATAATGCACACATTCCGCTTATATGGTTTGAGTGAAGATAGTGATCTTGGAAGTTTTGAACAGTGGGGTAGTATCTGCTGGCGGAGCTGCCTGACACAGTGAAGTGCACCAGTGGGCTCTCAAGCATAACGGATATTGCCATATGTGGCTACACTAAGTCGTGTATAAAACCACTAAAAAACCCTTTTTCAGATATAAATCCGAGGGAAGGGCAGTTCTAAAACCATCAACACACCTAGTTGTTAGTCCACAGTGGTTATCCGCAGCTTGTTGGATCAACTCAACCATTGCGCGCAATGTATGCAGGTGGGAGTCCAATTATCCACTAATAAGACGTACACGAGGCACAAAAACAGGGCTAGTTACGGTTGGTCAGTAATAACCTTGGTCTGTACAACGGTAATCGCAGCAAATCACTTGTTGCAAAGTTGAAGGCTTCACACGTCACACACGTAACCTTGGGACGCAAGTAGAGGTATTGTAGAGGTTGAACCTACATGCATTACTAGCAGCTCCACGGGTTTAGCACCCCAACGTTCTCGTCTCGATAAGACCACGTCCGCCTGGATGCCAAAAACATCAAGGTCTCGGCTAGACCGGTAACCAGAACTACCGAGGCGCCGGGTCCAGAGCACACCCCAGTGGGGCATCACGGCTGGCCATGATTTGGTTTGTTTTAACTCACACGATGGTGTTCCCGCGAAGCCACTTCTATTAACGTAGGATAGTACTGGATAGGACCTCACAATTCAGTTCTTGGACGGGACTCGCATACGTGATCTCCCACTTGCGGCCGATTAAACATAATCAGGCCAGGGCAAAGAATCACCGACAAGGTATGCGTTTCAGAAGAGGGTTCGATTCTGCACAGGACGCGAAACAAATCAACGTGCTTGGCTAGATACTAAGTGCTATTATTCCTGTTGTAGTGGAGGCCGACTGACTGACAAACCGATTGGTGAACAACACGGAAAGGTACGGTCTTATAAACCAGGAAAGCCGCCTTATATCACAAAGTTCAGCATCATCAAATAATGACATGATAGGAAGGCTTTTACGAGGTATACCCTCCAATATCAGCAGGGGGACTGAGCTGAAAGAGGGGTTGAGAGACGGAAGCCTACGATGCACCACTGCTCAACCTGCTATACTGAATACAAGAAAAAGCTCTACAGCTTTATTATCCCCTTTCTATCATACGAGACAAGCTTGTCCAACAAAGCCTGGTTAGTCCACATGCCATCTGCCGCTCTCACTGAGTTCGTTCTTTCGAATTACACAGTGAAAAGTTGGGAAACGAGGACGGCCGGCAGACAAGGGTTGATAAAATACCAGTACTCCAAGAGGGCCGGATACGATGACTGTGGGATTGTGAGAAACATTCTGTATGGACAGGTGCGTACAGCGACACCTGGATGCCCTTTTTTCTGTTGCCTTGAATCAGTGGAGTCGGAGAAGTTATGAGGTCGACTTTATAGACAAGGGAATCAAGTAGATCCTGGTCAACAGATTTATAAAGTATGTTAGATAAAGCAACTTCTAAAGCTCGAATGCAGGTGAATATGGATTCGAAGACTGCCTAATCTGGGGCTATGAAGAAACCTCACACCCCTTCAAGCTGAATTCGTATTTTCCCACGACTGAAAATCTGTTGACAGACGAGGAAGAGTAATGTTCGGGCAGCCTGTGAAGCTGTGGCAGCCTGAATTAAGAAGTATGGCCAGAAAGCTTCGGATTTCTACTCAAGAATCGGAGCTGTAATCAATCTGGTTCATACCACTTCAATTTGCAGCCTAACTGAGTATCATTGTCAGCTA